GTCTGTATTTCCTCCCTTCTTTGCGCCACCATGGCGCATGCTGAATGACTTGGGGAGTATCGGGCGAAAGACGTCGCAAGCGAGACAAGAAGTAAAGACAGCTCGCGGAGAACGCCGAAGTTGCCGATGCGGAGAATGTGCTGATGTGCTATTTTAAGAACAGGCAGGTCGGGGAATAGAGATGTGCGGCGCATCCAGGAAAGGCATTCGCGCGATCTCTTGCTCCCAACGTCCATGATCTCCTCTTTACGAGTCCCCAATCGACTCCCAAACATGCAGCGCACCAGCGTGCAGCAGGACGCACAAACACGCATGGGTGTTCTAATAGTATCCTCGGCCATGTGTTGGGATCACGAATCACTGCTTCTCTGGCAGCATGTTCGCCCGTCAGAAGCAACGAAGCCCTCTAGCCCCCGTCCCTTCTCACACTCATTCCGCTCTTTGTTATACCACCGCCTCTGGTCCCGACAAAGGACGCTCGTCGCCTCGAGCCTTGCTTGTATGTTCCTCTATTTCAAATTTCTTTCGGTGCTGATCCTAATTCCTTTGTTCAAGTCGGCAATATAATCAGTGGCGAGGGCACGGCGGCAGCATTCATTTTCCTTCCTTTCTTCCCTCAATTCGTCTGCCATGGACCATTCCCTTTCAGCTGGTCAGCGCGGCCCCGATCGTGACCCTGCGTTTCTGAGCAACAATCCAGCAGCCTTTCGGCGCGGCTCAGCCCAGAGTGATGGCTTCTTGTCCATACAAACGACTTCGACGCCTGCTCCTTCTCCGAAACTACCGTACACCCTTGTAAGTAGCCACTCCATTTGGTTCCAAGGTCCAATAACACCGACTCTCGATTTCCGTATAGTCGGTCAATGCACCCGCCTCGAGCAATCTTTTGGTCAATGCAAACGAGAAGTTCGCAGACGCCCAGGCATCGGACAACCACGTACAATTCGCAACATATTCTGCTGAAAAAGCAGCACCTCCTCTAGGTGTGTAATCCGCAGCTCTTGCATCCCTCATACCCGGCCCAATGATCTCATCGATGTCCGTCACCCGGATCAGGCAACCCTCCCGTCTCCCCCACGACCCTGGCTCGCGACGCCAAGAACAGGATCCCACTTCCTCTTCGCCCATACTTCTGGGTCCCGCTGATCGTATTCTTGGTCGCTGGGGCGATTGCATTGGAAGTTGCTCTTCATGTCAGCAACGAACGGCAAGGTGTGCATCTCTTCTGTCCTCATTGCATCGTAATCTCAGGGTGTCGTAGGATGGGCGTCGGGAACCGCATTGCAGTCGTCAGTTGCGCTGCATTATGCATACGTACGTGTTTTTATAGCCGCTTCTCTAACCTTCGATTTTAAAGACGCATATTGTAGACTCTACCGCCGGTCGTGATAGCTGCAGGAGTATGCTCTAGCCCATTCATGACATCGTATTCACCCTGATTGCTGTTATTTCTCCCCAGACCGTGGCGCTTTGGGCATGGACGGACATCGAAATCAAAAAAATGCAAGTGAGTATTTCACTCCTTTTGCGCGCTCGACGAACTCATCCACTCCAAGCCCTACGTCGATCTCGTCCATGGCGACTCTCCTCCCCATCGTAGCCTACTTCTCGACTACACCCGCGACAAGTACGCCCACCTATCCTAAATCGCTCATCAAATCTAATTTTCCTTTCAGCAACTTCTTCGTATGGACACGCGCAGCCAAGAACCAGCACTATCTCGTTGCCATCGCCTCGCTCATGGTGCTCGTCACGCTCAGTTTCCAGCCCCTCGCGGCCGCGCTACTCGTTGTGCGGGATACGTGGATCCAGCTGCCTGGTTCGTCTCTTCCCAGATGACAATTCCATCGCACTTCTGACCTCATTCTAGATGTGACGATGACAAATCTTGCGTCAATAGGGTTGAACCAGAACTCGCAGTTCAATGACCTCACATGTGAGTAACAGTCACTTCGACCTTGGTTCGATCCTAATCTGGTTCTCTCAAGCTTTTTTGGCGGGAGCGGGATATGCTAGTTCATCCGTACTGTATAATTTCCCTCCACCATCGTTCATTCAAGTGCCCTATACCATCGCGCCATTCCAGGTTAGTATGCAATTGTCTCCTCATCATTCTTGCTCAATGGTACTTTCAGCTGCCAATTGCGTTAACAACGAACGGAACAGCGTTCGCGAATACCACGGCATTGAAGACTTCGACCGGATGTCAAACTGCCACTGTACGCGTCAAATCTAACACTCTACTTTTTTCAATGACCAACAGTATTACCCAGGTGCAAATGACGCAAATGCCTAATAGCGCCTGGCTTAATGAAGCTTCTGTCAACGGATGTTCATTTAGCTTTAATGTGACGAACAACAGCGAAATTCTATTTGGTATGTCGGAACTGTGATATGGCCATGAGTTATTCATATTAATTACACACGGAAGGCGTCGACACTCCGACATGCCTTTCAAACCCACCAGCACAATTCAGCCCCGTTGTATTCTGGTTCTTCTCGTGAGCAATCACGTAATATCTATAGGCGCCTGCTCACGACCCTCACAATCCAGCTACGTCCCCACCGCCGTCGCCTCCGCCACATTCTGCACCCAGTCCTTTTCCCTTTGGGAAGTGAATGCCGGCGTCGATATCCGCATAGGCAACATCACCTCTGTCTCTGAGCTGCGGCCGTTCAGCGCCAGCTCGAATTTCTCGTCCACCGCGGGTAATGTCACGGGCGATCCACTTGACGGGCGCGCATACAATGGGGTCGCGTTTAATCTGACGAACCCTGACGCGTTCGTTTTGGCACGGCAGAGCGCAGTGCGGTTGCAGCTCCCAGCGGGGGTGTATCAGGCGGCATTGCAGACGCCTCAAGGCTTCACGGGGAGTTTTGGAGATGCGTTGAGTGCGTTGGTTGATGACGTCTATGTACGCTTTTTCGTAGTGAATATTTTTCTCGGGCGCAGATACTTATGTTTTTGCATAGGGAATCTATCTCGCACTGGTCGCCAAAGAGGTCTACTTCCTCCCGGACAATGAACCTATCAACGTTCAGGTGAAAACTTTCCAACAACGCGTGTGGCTAAGGTGACTTTCTCTCCTCAAATTTTCCGAACGACAACACTGAAATGAAGAACTTCACAGTGCACCAGCTGTACACTTACTCACCACCGCCTTCCTCATCCTCGCTTTCTTCGGGACTATAGTCCACCTCTTCCATCGGGCTGACCGCCGCCACCTGCGGCTGACGCACCTCCCGGGGACCATCGCCTCTGCCGTCTCCATCGGGGCGCAAACCCAGGTTGGTGTTGTCCTCGCGGGACGGCACGCGGAGCGGGACCTGCGCGCAGCCCTCGCAGACAAGCGCTTCCGCATGAATCCAGACACTATGCGCATCATCATGGATTCAGAGGAGGGGTACGAGGTGCCGAGGGGGGACACGCCACCCGGGAGCCCCGCGGGGAGGAGAAAGTCGATGCTTGATGTGTTGCAGGGGAGGAGGGCGAGTCGCCGGTTCTCGGTGGGGCAGCCGCAGAGGCTGAGCACCGCGGGTGGTGGAGGAACGACACCGACGAGCCCGCGGTCGCCGCTGACGCCTGGCGCTTTAAATTCGCCGCCCAAGTCGCCTGTTGCGGCGCCTGGATCGCAGATGGCGTGAAGACCGCTTGAATTTTTATGCTTGAACCTTTCGTTGCTAACCTTTCGTTATGTCTCTGCTATTCTTCTGTAGAATTTTTGTGCTTCTCATCTGGATCTTTTCTTCAACTCACGAGTACAATACTTATCACGACAAAATCGCTCTATAATTACGAGTTTAGCCAAGCTGCTGCTTGAACAGTGTCGCGATCAATCACAATTCGAACTGACCTGCGACACTGTAACATCGTCCCGAATTGAATGTCATGCGAAACGATCTTCTAACGACTCGTCTATGTATCCTATTCGATAATGACATGGAGTTAATTATTTATGCTCTTTCAACTTACACGAATGCTCTTCTCGTTGCTTCCAACGTTCTACACTTTGTCACGGTGTTCAGGCGGCTAACAAGCAACTTTTGCGCAACTCTATCAATCAAGACCAGCCAACCACTTGCGGCTGACTGGTAGACTGTTTTTGAATCCAGCTAGCATGCAAGCCGCCCGTCGGTGGTCTTCGTTGGGTCAGCCGCTGGCTCATGGACGTATATAGGCCCTTCCTCTTCGGCCTTCCACTTCGCCACACCTCTTCCCTCATTTCCGGATCAATCCTCCACTCCTCAAGAAACCCGCCTTCGACATAAAGTGAGTCCATTCTCACATCATTCTCTTCATCGCTAACCCATGTCCTCACGCTCGCTCGCGGGGACTAGATTATTACAGATTGCAATAAAGATACGGTAGGTATAGGTGGAATGCGAAGGACATATCGGTCGGGTGCATAGCGAAGGAAGACTGTAGTTTAGGGTGCGCGTTTGGGTATTTGTCCTCCACAGACCACTTCATTTTCACGTCATGTCTCTACCTTGGCATCTTTTCCCACTGGGTTTTTAACGCGCCAATGAGTATGATTTCCTCATAACCACTTGTCCGACCATGAGCTTTCGAACCCTGAATTCCGGTACGGGGTGACTTGATAGTTGATTTTGACGCAAGAAGGTGTCACAGCCTAGTAGTACCAGTAGCAGCATCTACCGTCCACTACTGCCAGTACTTACTGGGGCGGCCGCGTGACTGGGCTCTTACTGGAGTTCACATAGCGGGGAAACGGACGGAAAGCAAAAAGACTTGGACGCATTGGGAATTGAACCCAACACCTCTCGCAAACCATGCCAAATGCTAAGCGAGCGTGATAACCAACTACACCATGTGCCCCTTCAAGTCAGATTTAGGCGGTCGGTTCCCGATCGGGACACGATGCCTATTTTTGTATACATGGAAGCGCCCGGGTGTTGGACGAGCGCTTGTTTAATGGTTTCCAATTGCATGCGCATTGCGATATAGTCACACATTATCGTTATACAAAGCAAAAGAATGGACACATTGGGAATTGAACCCAACACCTCTCGCAAACTCATCGAGATCAATGCGAAGCGAGCGTGATAACCAACTACACCATGTGCCCTGTGATGGTCGTACACGGACATGATCAGCTGGAGCCTGATTGGATTTGGAACACTACGGTCTCCTGAATGTTCCACTGACTTGAAAGAGTCGTTCTGCGAGAAATATCATAAGGTTCAAAATCGTAAAAGAGCTACACATTAAATAATACAGAGTAATAAGCAAGAAATACAACGTCTGCCATGTAAATCATAGTCATCTACATAGTGTCAATGGGTACCTCTGGAGTTGACAGACGTCAAAGCAAATGTATCATACAAGTCAACAGACACTACTCGATATGGCGCTGAAGAGTTTGATCTTCCTCCTTCTCACAATGGGCTGGTAGACCAATACTCCTGCGAGCGAAGCCAACCATCAAGTCTACAGACTTGACATAACGCGTAAAGTGACTACCGAAAGTAAGGCCCCATAAGTAACCGAGATACGACGCGCCTCCTCCCTAAAAAAGCCGTGAGCCAAGCGAGCATTCACAAAGAAAGAAAGAAAGAGTTCATACCCGACCGATACTGATGGCTAATATTTCCGGAGTCTTCCTATACGCCTTCTTGGGCAGACGACCTTCGAGATAGTTCATCACATTGTTAATGACGACCGGGGCGTGTCCCATTGAGATTTTGGTGAGTTGCTTAGCTTCAGGCCAGTCGATAATATCTCCCAGAGCAAAGATATTCTGATGACTTTCGACTTGCAATTTCGGGGTAACTTTCACATAGCCACGATCGGTCAGCACAGATGGGCGTAGAAACTTGAGCAGGGACGCGTTCGGACGGCCTCCACGGGCGTGGATCTAAGACAGAAATGAAGTCAGTAAGCTTGAGAACATGGTGTAAATTTAGCAGAGTTCGTACGAGCAAATCGCACGGTAAGGATACCCCTTGGCTAGTTCTTATTGTTCCCTTGGGAGCTGCATTGCCTTCAATGGTGTCATTGAAGATGATGCTCACTCCTCGCCGCCGCAGACGATCTTCGACGTCGGTTCGGAATGTTTCTGGATACATGTCTCCGAGTAATAAACGGTTGGCGTGGACGATTGTGATATCTTTGGACTTATGAAACGAAATCAATGTTAGATCACATTGCGAACAAGATTGCGACTTACTGGGTAAGAATCCTTGATTTCTCCAGATACCTCTTGAATCAAATACTCAGCTGCAAGAAATGCTGTTTAATATGAAAGAACATTACCTATACCAACGGCTCCACCTCCTACAATCACGATGTGCTGAGCATCCTGAATTTTCTTGCGCCAACTTGATACGTGTTCTTTGAACTCGGTTTCTTTGTTTGGAAATGCAAGATGTCCCACCCAGGAAGATCCGGTGGCAATGACGAGAGCGTCATACATCACCGTTTGTCCACCTTCGACAACCACAAATCCACCTCTCGAAAGCAAAGGGTCCTTGTTCTCCTCAATTGAAGTTGCCGTACCGACTATGATTTCTCCAGGAAATTTACCAAAAATCTTGTCATATGACATGAAGACGGAGCTGAGCGGTACATCTGGACTGGCTAAGAGTCGAAGTGCACCCGGCAAATACGTATGACAAGGCCTTGAGGTAATGAGAACCAGTCGATACTTTGTTTTGTCGAGCCTCGACGAAAGCCCACGCACAACTAAATTAAATACATGTCAGTTCAGCCTGGGAGAGAGATAGCCTGCGACAGATGGCTCTCACCTGCAGCTCCTGCAACACCTCCTCCTACAACGACCACCGAGAGACGATTATCAGTCCGTATCTGCGCGGATAGTGGTGGATTCATTGTGGTGGCTGGAAAAGAGAGGGGAAAACCTGTTTCCACGAGTCCCTTCTACCTGCGCAGCTGAATGTATATGGGTTCCCGAGCAAGTAGAGATGGGATTCCCATGGAGCCAGTGTGTGCAGCTGGGCGTGTGTGTACTTTCAAATGGGAATAGCCATCGTGGAACGAAGATCACTTGATGTTCAGTGGCAGTTGCTATTCTTTGCTATTGGATGCCATCGAGATGGTACGGTCAACAGTTCTGACTGACACTGCATGAATCGATGTAGTGGTGGAATGATGAAGAGGATCCAAGTCGTTGGCGCCTAGAAATGATGGAGAGATTCCTGATATAGAAATAAATTCCCACCTCTATGTCAATCTAACTCAAACGTCACACTCCTTCCGTTTCATTGACCACATCGTCGTTCACAACGGCGACGACGAACTTCAGCAATCAGTCAAGTCAAACCACTGTCAGGTTTCAGAAAAGCTCTTCTGTCTCTCGCTATGCTACATGGCTTTGATCAGCGACACTGAGTGCGTTCATTTTAACACAAATGTCGTCTGCCTTTCCTTACCGTCATATTCTAGTTTTCTCATTCACAATCTTCGGCTGTCGTATTTGCGAGATGTAGAAGACCCGTACGGTCCAAGGATAATATCCTTGGACCCTTCGTATCAGTCCAATCCTTACATTTTATCCGCCTCCTTGACTGATGTCGACCGATGGCCCCAACTTGCAATGCCCTCGAGCCCAAATATAAGCGAAGACGAGCAAGATCGACCTCTTGGATTCCCAGGAGCCAAGCTAAAACATACCCAGACGATAATGGGTGGACGAACGGGTGGCTTGGGTCTCCGCGTTCATGGAAAAATCGCGTCCAGCTCCAAACGTATGTCTGTCACACCTCGCCAGCTCGATGTGAAGAACTTCGTGTCCGATAAGACACCAGTGCAGCAGGAGACTGCCCTAGCAGGAAAAACTCTTGCACGTTCCGCACCTGGCGGCGAGAGTTGGATAAAGACAGGAGAAGGAAGCTCGCCGGAGCCGACTGTTGAAGTGCAACAGGCGACTGCTCCGGAGGAGAATCCGGTGGCGAAAGTCGTTCAGTTTATTCCGAAATTCAAGGGTGCTGCAGAGATGGAGGCCAGGAGAAGAGTGCGGATGGAGACGCGTCGGCAACCCGGCGCACCTAAAGCACAACCTCCGCCGAAACTTGACTTTTCATCTTCCGAGGACGAGGCTCTTGTTCACGAGATGTCATCAGAAGACTCGGTCGTGGTGGATAGTATGGACGAAGGGGATGAGTTCGATCCGTGCGTGGTCACGTTCAGTATTAAGATTTGTTTAAACTCTCCTATACAGCGAATTTGCCGCCACGCGGACGGGAGCGACATCCGACAGCGCGTCAGACGCGGTTTCGGTCTTTTCGAATGGGACGGCTAATTCTTCTATGCCAGCTTCATCGTCACAACCCTTTAACAAGACGCGTCCCCGTTTGAGTCCAGTCTCTGAATACACTATCCGTGCACAACGCCAACAGAAGCCTGAAGATGTTCCTCGCAAACGCTCCGAAGTACGCAGCAGGGGGGACAGCACATCGACCAACAGCACTCACGCCACTTCACCAACGACACATCCGCCACCGTCTCCAGAGAAAATGTTCGTGCGCAAGAAGGTACAACTGATCAAACCTCAGACGTCGAGTCTGTCCGCGATGCTAGCGTCGTCGAAGAGTTCCTCGAATCCTTTCGCGGAGATGTATGCCACAATTTCGGGACGGGGCGAGTCGGCATCTACCAATGTCCAGATATATTTCCCTCACTCGAAGCAACCGCAAGGGAAAGCGATGGACCTCAATATCAGGCGGGATGCAACTGTAGAAGAGGTCATTGGCTTCGCATTGTGGAACTACTGGGAGGAGGGCTGGTTGCCAAAACTCGATGAAGGTCTCACTGGGGAAGATGATCCCAAGTGGTCGACAAAGCTTTCTGCTGTAGGTTGGATTCTGAGGATAGCAGAAGATGACGGAGAAGTGGATGATGATTTTCCTCGTACGTGGTTTGGTTGCCATATTTATAAATTGTTTTGACGGACCTGCTAGCTCCTGATCGTATGGAAAAAGTCGCCAAATTTTCAGAGGCTTATGCAATTCTAGAAGCGACGCCAACTCAAAGTATGTGATTGTCTCAGTATACACCCTCATCGGCTAATGAATGATGCAGTACAGCAAAATCGTATATTGGAAAGCAAAATCCAAAGACGGCCGTCGCGAACCATTGCGAAGAAATCTGCGGACAAGCTCAACCTCCCGAATCCAATCATCTCTTCAACAGCTCCAGGGAGTACTCTATTCGGGTCAAACATTGTATCTGGAGGACTATCAACATCATTGGGCCCTTCGTCAAGTCATGGGCCTCAAATATTTCTTCGTATTCACACTGCTGATGCCGTACACATATCGACTACAATACCAGTGTACGTATCTTAGCCATTTTCTCTTTGTCGAGTGCACAAATCTGATACCTTGATGTAGTTCTGCTGGGATGTATATGCAAGAAGCGTTGGAACTGGTATGCCGGCGACGCAAACTTCCAAATCCTAATGAATATGCACTGCTCTTAGCTGACAAAAGTATCATCCTTCCCCTGGACCGCACGGTGGCAAGTCTGGAAGGGAAGCGCGAACTCCTCCTTGTGAAACGTAGCATGCTTCCACAGATGGACGTCGTTATTCTGAAAGGCATCGGGAAGACGACAGATCCCAACGGTGCGTAATTTCTCACCTCAGGTCTCAGTTGAGGTCCGCTCGCTGAATATTTATCTCTTCAGCGTCTATTTTCAAACGTATGTCTGATACACCGGAGCAGCAATCTTCTTCGGTTACCGACTTCACATCGGCATACAAGGTATCTGATGCCATTTTCAACACAGTTTATGATCGTACTAATGCCCTTTCATTAGAAATACACTATATATCGCAAGATGCCTATGCTTGTGGCTCGACAGGAGCGCACACTAGCAATTGACGGCGATTATATTCATGTTCGTGCTGCTTCTGCTCTTGCACTCGATTAGATCCACTAAGTATCTGAACTCCATAGATCATGCCATCTACCAATAAAGCACGCGTTGTATTTGATAGCGGCAAGACATCATCATATCACATCAAAAGCATCGCAGACTGTCAACAGTCAGCGAAGACATCCTCGATCTTTAAGCTTATTTTGAATCGCACAGCTGGGAACAAACGATACGATTTCGAGGCTGAAAGCCCCAGAATTGCGGGTGCGCTATCTTCATCGCCCGATCCTTGTTGTCAATTTGTGATCGCTAACAGGTACGCCCTTGAATTTGTAGCGGAAATAGTGCAGACAATCAAAAACCTCAAGGCGGGGCTCGATCGCTCTGGGACCCTCAGCAAGGCGCGCAGGAGTCGGCAGGTGGTTTGAGTTATATCTGAGTCGTTCCTTTCGTTTATTCACCACATACACCATTGGCATCTTTCTGACTTTTTTGCCATTCACGTTGTATTTCTAGTGTTATACCACTTGTAAATTACACTCAGCATCTCGTTAGGATCTTGAACGATAACGTTCGTTTGATAATTGACCCTCAGTCACCTTACGTTGATGTGCCGTCACAATATCTCAGTGTCGCGCTAGTGGTTATGAGGAAATCATACTCATTGGCGCGTTAAAAACCCAGTGGGAAAAGATGCCAAGGTAGAGACATGACGTGAAAATGAAGTGGTCTGTGGAAGACAAATACCCAAACGCGCACCCTAAACTACAGTCTTCCTTCACCATGCGCCCGACCGATTTTTCCTTCGTATTCCACCTATACCTACCGTGTGTGTATTGCAATCTGTAATAATCTAGTCCCCGCGAGCGGGCGTGAGGACATGGGTTAGCGATGAAGAGAATGATGTGAGAATGGACTCGCTTTATGTCGAAGGCGGGTTTCTCGAGGAGTGGAGGATTGATCCGGAAAAGAGGGGAGAGGTGTGGCGAAGAGGAAGGCCGAAGAGGAGGGGTTTATATACGTCCATGAGCCAGCGGCTGACCCAACAAAGACCACCGACGGGCGGCTTGCATGTCAGCTGGATTGAAGAGCAGTCTCCCAGTCAGCCGCAGGTCGTTGGCTGGTCTTGATCGATAGAAATTTACAAGCGGATGTTAGTTGTTCGCGTAGTACAAGGGGAGCGTTCATGTCGCATTTGGGGACACCAGAGAAGTAAATGAATTCATATCATCGTCAGAAATACAAAGTGAAATTTGTTGGAAAACCTTCAGAAATTGTAGGTATTATGCATGGGTTCAAAAGAGATCTTCCGCGTAAATTCTAACAGTGACTACAGCAGGCAGATGGCTGAGCAGTCGCAATGGGTGGTTTGATACCTTCTCCAGATGCGCACAAGTTTGTCGAGGTACAAGTATTGTCATTGCCGCAACAATCAGGCAACGGAGTTTCCGGCTGTGGCACGGCGGATTCCTTCGAACAACTTGGAGTTTCCTCAGCATATGCATCATCGCCGCAACACTTTCTATTTTGAGGCAGCTTGCTTCCACACGTATCAGTCTTGGAACGGAGTGAGAAAAAAGAATGCCGATATCAAGAATACACTCACAGGATTGGGTCGGGGCCCGTTAATGACTTCATGTGTGCAACATTTCTCATTGTTTGGGCCATGAGGAGAGCAGCAAGCCGAAGGAGCCTTCGAAAAAGAAATTGGTTACCAGAAGTGACATAAAATGAGAGTCATACTCACGGCTTCTGCAACGTCATCGCTGCACTTACACTCACCCGCTTCCTTACATTCACTTTTCTCCGCACAACATTCACATAGATCCCGATAACATTCACCTAGCTCTTCTACGTCGCCGGGCACACGGCAATCTTTGCAGCATCCACCATCAAAGGCCGGGTCTCTGACCCACTTGATAATCTTGTATCCCTCCCAGAGGAATAGAAAACCGAGGATAATGGAGGTGGCGCTGTCGACCCACCAGCCGCCCTCCCACAGGCGATAAATCAAGGATCCAGTAAAGAGGATGATGGTAATTTGAATACAAGATAAGGAGCAGGTCGCCTCACCGGCCATCACACTGCTGTCAAGTGCGCGAGCGAGGTATCGTTTGGGCAGCCAGATGATGACCATCAGGACAAGAGCAGAGACAGAGACAATGAGGGAGGCATTGGACGAGTCAGGGTGTTGATGAAGGACAAGGGAGACGATAGCAGTGATTTCTGTTCCAAGGGCAAGAATGACGAGGAGAATGCCAATGCTCGCCGAAGCGTATTTCTCGATCCTACGAAATCGGTTAGTGGGTGGTAAATAGAAATCAAACAAAACAAGCCTTAGTTCCCTAGCCCCGAGACTGATAGCCTTTTCCTCTCCTGGTGGTGATACCTTCCAGAACCTCCACACCACAATCACAGCAGATATAACCTCTATCGCTGACTGGACACCGAAAAATACGAGAGATCGCGATGAGGACTCGCTCCCTAATCCGACCGAAACACCACCTTCTGCACCGTTGTATATGATGCTAACAACGCTGATTAGTATCGCATATTGCTGCAGTTGACGATAAGAGGGGGCCATGACGACTGTGGGAGTGAAGAACTTTGTTCATGGACCAAGTTATTCAAGTTGATTCGGCGGAATCCAGTCGGGGATTGAAGATTAAAACTCTATTTTATTGGGCACATGGTGTCCTGTAAGTAGTTGGCTATCACGCTCGCTTAGTACGTAGCAAATGCGAGCACAAATTGGCAGAATTTTTTTGCATGTTCACTGAAGAAAAGTTTGTGTTACATTCTAGTCAATACGCTAGTTTTGCACCCTGGTACGCGTTACGTGAACATCTGGTCGAAATAGTACAGTAGTTGACCGGCAACAAAGGCATCATCGACATGTATGGTGTTTTTGGGGGAAAAAAAGAAGAAAAAACACCAGGGAGGAAGTATTTTTCACAAACGATGAAAGGCCAATACTTAGACACAACTTTATGTTTGAAAAATTGTTGGTTCTAAAACGGTTCTCGTTCAACCTAATACTAGTACTCATAGTCTCATACTCATCATGATTCAAATATTCATGATTCAATATCCATCGACAGATCCGAGATATGCACTGTGCATACGCCTTCGGAAGTTCGGATGTCATGTTCTCCCAAGAACAAAAAATCCACAAGCTCTTCATGGACGCATTGGGAATTGAACCCAACAGCTCTCGCAAACCATACCATATGCTAAGCGAGCGTGATAACCAACTACACCATGTGCCCATAACATCGTGCCCGATTTTTTTAGGAGTGCCAGATTTTAAATTTTTTGAGGTTTTTTTTTTTAATAGAACGAAGGGCAATCCTGAATTATATTTGACGTAACTAATATTTGAGATGTAAGTTATTGAGGGCACATGGTGTAGTTGGTTATCACGCTCGCTTAGCATATGGTATGGTTTGCGAGAGGTGTTGGGTTCAATTCCCAATGCGTCCAAGTTTTTTTTAGCTCTTCCTTCGCTGTTTTCCGTATTGATCAATCGATCATCGGCCCTTTTTTGCATCTTCAGACCTCGTCTTCAACCTCTAAGCTTCCGGGCAGAATCAAGGTCAACCTTTGGACAAAACTTCCTTCCCAAGAACATATCAGACATCTCTCAGTCGCTGGGCGACAACCCTCCTAATCCCATGGTCTGATTTCTGCTTCAATCTCATTTATCAGCTTCTAGACAAGTATTTGAAAACATGGAGGGATACACGTCCAAGCCTGTCGTTTACATTGGCTCTCAAGAGCTGGCGAAGGTAATGTCGCCTCCTAAGTCAGGCACTTCTATCGTGATTTCCCCGATCGCAATCATGATGTTGACTGACATCATTACTTCTGCAGATATCTGCGCTTCTCCCATCTAATAAGAAACGGTCTATGATCGTACATTCTCTGGTCAGCTCACTGGGACTTATGAACAACCCAAAAGCGTCCGAGAATGCTCGACGCCTGCAGGTGGTCTCACCAAGAAAAGCAAGCTACAAAGACCTTGCTGTGTACCATACTCGTGATTATCTCAACGCCGTTCTCGACGCTAGCAACCTGACTACAGACGGGGAAGATCAAGAAACAGATATTCTGGTTAACGCTGAATTTGGCCTTGAGGACGCATGTATCGTTGTGTCCTGGATGCTATCGTCTCTTGCTCACTATTCTGCAGGATTGTCCCCGCTTTGCTGGTCTTGCGGAGTATGTTCAGCTGGTGGGTGGTGCGACTCTCACAGCAACGAAGGCGCTGCAACAAAACTTGGCAGACATCGCCATCTGTTGGGATGGTGGAAGGTATTTTATTTACAGTGCATGGAATGTTTCTTCGCTCACACGTAAATGTCGTTTGGTCTTCGAAAACAGACATCACGCGCGTAAATCGCATGCATCTGGTTTCTGTTATGTGGCAGATTGCATTCTGGCTATATTAGCTCTAAAAAGGCCTCCGGTTCAATCTGCGAACCCGACTCCGCCGAATACTTTGTCCACTGTAAGAAAACCGAGAATCATGTATCTTGACCTCGACCTGCACTTCTCAGACGCTGTGTCTGAAGCATTTTATTCTCCTGTGAGTTTCTCTACTCCACAAGTCCTGGTGAGTGACTTTTTACTTCCAGTCGTGCTGGACAATTGAATCGCCTTCGTAAAGACTTTGAGTATTCACCACACTGCCCCAGGATTCTTCCCTGCATCAGAGCGTGCAGCATTGTCTAATCCATCTAGTCCCAATTTCGATCCTTTTACCTTATCCTTACCGCTCAAGCAAGGCGCGTCAGATAAGACGTACGAATGCATATGGCCCATTGTGGAAAATATAAGGAAAACGTTCGAGCCTGATTTCGTAGTACTTCAGTGCGGAGTGGATGCTTTGGCAGGTGACCCTTGCGCCACATTCAATTGGTCCTTGGGTGATAGCCCGGGATCTATGGGCTGGTGTGTCCAAAAAGTAGTAAATGAATGGCCTGGGAAGAAGCTTCTCTTGGGAGGAGGTGCGTTTTTTGAATTTCCCAGACCAACCGCGTCTAATGTTTGCTTTACTAGGAGGATATAATTCACCCAATGCTGCAAGAGCGTGGGCTTATCTAACTTCTATTGCAGTAAGTGTCTCTTCTCTCTTTCGAAAAATTCAACGACAAGCACCCTTCCAGATGAATAAACCCTTAGACCTGGAGACGGAGATTCCTGATCACGTAGGATTTCCCCTGTACGGACCCTCTTTCACGGTAAGCAGATCATCGTCAGATTCATGAAATAGATATCGACTCAAATTGTACTAAAAAGCTCAATGTGTCAGCGGGCAACATGAACGACCATAACTCCGAAGAGGACTTGGGTACTCTTCATACACGGTTTGACAACATAATTGAAGTGTTACAGAAGAGGCTGGCTGTTTAACGTCACATAGCTTGGAACCCATATCTGTGCTACAATCGCACTTGTTTCTTCTCCACGTTTATACGCACTAAATTTTATTTATTTATAAGTCTTTCCTTTCGTCCCAAAATTAAGTTCAGTACGTACCTGCGAGTAATAATCATTGGAGTATGCGCATGTGTATGGACTAGCACAGACCGTTGGTCCAATGTAACCAATGCTGCAAATACAATCAGAATGAAGGTATCGGGAGGTCAACTTTTCAGCCTAATAAACTCACCCTCCGCATTGACCATACTGGGACTGGATTGCACCACTAGTGGTCGTCGTAGTAGGATTGGTCGTAGTAGTGGGTTTGGCGGTAGTCGTGGGGCTGCCTGTAGTCGTTCCCCCGTTCGTCAGTGTCAGGGTAATAACGCTCACGCTAACGGCCGGGGCATTGTAGTTGAATGTCTGTCCGGTGGAGATGGTGCTGGAGATCGGAGCGAACAAGTTAGGGTTTGAAGGTGTATTGCTTGCCGTCGCAGTGCCGGTCAAAAGCTGGAGGTTACCAGAAGAGGCAACGGTAAATGGTAGTTGGAATGTCATAGCTGCAGCCGATGAAGCAGTGTTGGAGATCTTGTCATGTTGTAGTCAGATGAGAAGGCAAGAAATCGAATGAGCATGTGGGCCTCACCTTGATGATGATTTGGCTGGCGGAGGTCTTGCGAACAACGCTCCAGAAAAGAGTGCCTGTTTGACTAGGCAGCGTACTGGGGAGGTAGCTGTCACCCCTGTTCACACTGAAGAGCTTCGAGATTTTTAGGCATGGAATATACTTTGTCATTCTGTAGGTAGGCGCTTACCTTTTGGACATAAAAACTCGTGGACCGATAGACAGAGCCTGCGCTATTAGTAACAAAATAAGTTGAGCTCAATTTTATGTCAGGTGTATATGCTTTTGATGCGTACTCGAAAGCAAGCAAATTTGGCGTCTAGAAAGATTCATATTATTTTCCGCATGAAGGTATCGGTCATCGCTTACCCATTGATTGGCTGTAATGTGCTAGATGGAGTGCATTTGTCAGAAAGGTATTCACAGTCATCTTGATGCAACTTACTCCCAGCAGGGGAGCGTATGAGGCCGCAAATCTAGTAGAAGCTTAACACGATTGTCAGAGAGGAAGAGGAATATTAATACATACACAATGTCACTATTCCTCTCCAGGCCCGTCATGAATGCAGCTTCGCCAGCGGCGCCTATATTTTTGCTTTGAATTTGCAACACTGATAACCATAAATCGAAAAAACTCACTTTGCATGGTAGGATAAGTCAAACGTCCGTCAGAGGGGCTTCCGTACAAGTCATTGGAGTTAGTTGAGATAGCGGCGTATTCTCCCTAACATATAATTCATTGTTTGCATTGGGGACTCATTTAACAGCGTCAACTCAGAACCTACCTCAAAATATTTTGTGCCATCACGCTTTGCAAAAAATCTCAATATGGTGACGGAATAATATAGTCGCAAAACTACTCACTTGGAAGGTATCATAGTAGAAGGAATTTTGGGCGAACCAAGCTTTAAAATACTTCTCGTTAGATTTTTTTGGTGGACATCGTCAGAGCGTCTGAGCTTACTAGGCGTTTGATATACGTGGACATCATATTCCGTTGGTTTGGGGGAAAGGACAGGATTGTTCACGTAAGAGGTAGCAATAAAGTCTGAAATAGTGAGGTTTGAGATACTTACAGTATTAGCAGAATCACGAAACGCGACTTACGGATATTGGGGAAGGCTGCCTTGAGTGCGTTAACGAAGTCCTTCCATCTATAGGTGTATCTATGAGACGGGACGAAAATCAGTTGACTCTACTCAGAATAGGATAAGTATATCACGCACGATGAAGACGCAAAGAAATCCTTTGAAAAATAATGTTTATCGAGCTATATCGTCGTCCAACTGGAATAAAGACTGACCTCATTGCCAACTTCAACATAGTTCAGCGTGAACGGAGCGGGGTGGCCAAGGGACGACCGGAGAGCCGCTGAACCGAAGAAGGTCAGCATAGAAAGCATTGTTATTGCAATGTGTATAATACCTGCTGCACTGGTAGAAGGATCTCCGATAACAAAGTTAATCTAATTAAGCATTGATTCCGAGATCGTAACTTCAGGTAGAGCTTTCGTCGACGCACTTGATCAATTGCCTGCTGAATGTAAGGTTGAAGTGCAGACTCGGCAAGGCTAGTCCCTCCCAAGGAATATCCTGTAGAATTTGAGGTGTCGTTTAAGACAACACATACTAGGCATGACACGTACCTGCCCAGACTGCCATAATTGGTTGCATCCCAAGATCTTCGCACCAATTCAGATATTCCAGCAAACCCAAACCACTGTTCCAATATCAGCATCGTAAGCTGTGCCAAATATATTGCGAAACACAAACTCAGTGTTGACATAACCCCAATCTCCTGCCCGGCCTGAAATAATGACACTCGACTTCGGGAAGGGAATAACAAGAATCAGTCTCGAGCTCACCTGCCCTACTGAGTATTGGGCCAACCTAGAAAAGACGGCGTTCGTGTTCGCTACTGTACTCACCCTCGGAAGACAAATTGATGACACGTACTGTCGCATTCCATTGCCATCTGGTAGCGGTGGTCTGGCCTTCGAGGTTATTCCCTCCTGGGAGACGGAAGAAAGAGGGGCCCATTTCTTGCAGAGCCTATGAACTAGCGGGTTAGAATGCAGGAACAAGACAAATGCCAAACATACTTCAGCGATGTCCACACGCATACCATTGGCTCGATTTTTGAAGGTAGGCGGGAATAAGGAGAACATTGCGAAGTTGATCGTCTGGCCAGACGCCGCAGCCCCATCCAGAGTAACGGTAAAAAGGTTTGTTAGGGAACTGGCCGACGTACTTGGTGTTAAGGATACTGTGACTTGCTTCCATGCGGTTTGTTGTCCTGAAAGACTAGCAGTAGTCGAAGCGAAGACTTGACCAGAGGAAGACTGAAGGCTAATTACAGCATTTCCGCTAAACGAAGAGCTGGTCGGAAACCTGTAGTAAAAGGATGCAGTGTAAGTTGATCCAGTCGTGACCTT